CTCATAGAAAATGCTGGAGCAGTGTTTCTCAACCCCAGCAGGTTTTGGATGTGTGGACTTCATCTCCCAGAATTCCCTACTCCTCATGGAGACCAGGGAATTCTGGGAAGTACACATCTTAAATTTACACTTTATTCTAGGGTGTAGCCGAAAAGAGGGCTGCTGCGCTTGTGTAACACTTGTGGGTTTGTGCACTGGGGAATGATGGAATTGTAGTCCCAAAACTGTCTGGAGAGATTTGATTTATGCAATTACAATTTTAATTTGTGTCACTGCAGATTGCCTGGATTTTGGGGAGGTGGGTGATTGATAAACTGATGTAATCATATGGACTATTTGTTTGTCTATTGCTAAATGCAACATTATGCCTAATGAGCATACAATACATTGTAGTCCTCAATTTACAACAGTTCCTTTAGTGACCAAAATTACAAGGGCACTGAAAAAGTGACTTACGACCATACTTAGGCCCATTGCAACACTCCCATGGTCACATGATCAAAATTCGAGCGCTTGGCACTGGATTCGTATTTATGACGGTCGCCATGCCCTGAGGTCATGTGATCCCCTTTTGTGACCTTCTGACAAGCAAAAGCAATGGGGAAGCCAGATTCACTTAACAACCAGGTTCCTAACTTATCAACTGCAGTGATTCATTTCAAGAAACTCACTTAACACATTTTTCAGTTAGCAACATAAATTTTGGGCTCAGTTCTGGTTGTAATTTGAGGACGTGTATACAAAGAGTAATTTACTCCCTTGTGAAACAAATTAGGCCTTCAGTGATGCTGCAGGAAGACGATCCTCCCTATTCAAAGTCCACGTTGCCGGTTGGAAAACAACATTTTGCTTTGCAAGGAATGTTGCATGTCGGAGCTGCACTGGGCTTTTAAAAACACACACACACACACACACACCATTTGATTGTAAAAAGGCTTGCAGTCCATCGCACAGCGTGGCCCACAAATAATTTGAAGCAGGCTGGGCTTGCCTTTGATTCGGGGTTTAAGGAAGAGGAAAAGCAGGTTGAAGCCCTGTACAACAAGGTTTTCCAACCTTCGCAATTGTCAGACGTGTGGACTTCAACTCAATGGGTGCTGGGGAATTCTGGGAAATGAAGTCCACACGCCTTAAGAGTTGCCAAGGTTGGTCAACTCTACTCTCTAAGCTCTAGTAGGTGAAGAAGAAACCATTTATTTCTGAGGAAGGTAAGATCAGTATAGCAAACTCCTAGATTCTCTGTACTTGGAAAAAGCTGGAGTGAAAATTGTGCTTATTATTATTATTTTTCAGTGGTTTGCAAACGAGGAACAGAGGGCGTTTCAGCATTCCATTGTAAAAGAATCCAGAAACCATTTGATGCGAGCATGGCAATTAGAAAACGGCAGGAGCAGCTATTCAAGCTGAAGAAGAATGCTGAGATGGAGCCGATTAGATCCCTGTGAGGAGGGTTAGGGAAGGGCAAGGCGGGATTGCAATCTGGCTTCCGGGTCCTATAGGGCTGAAAACGGCATGCCAAGGACGAGGAATGAAGACACATCAGAGGGTGGCGAAACCTCTTCTTGGCTAAGATTTTTATCGACTTCCAGGTGGTACTTTTCAAAACTTGGGAGGCGTTGGCACTTCAGCCCTCCGATTGCAAAACTGCCCTCCTGTGTTGTCTGTCCATCCTGCCAAAAGAGATCTGGGCATCCCTCGGCTTCCATAAAGCATCCTGACTGTTTGAGAAATCTGCGCAATGTGTTCCTCGGCTTACGGCCTCCGTTGAGCTCGAAACTTCTATCGCTAAGCGAAACCTTTGTTAAGTGAGGCTTGCCCCGTTTTACAGTCTTTTCTCACCACAGTTGTGTAATTTGATCACTGCAGTTGTTAAGTTAGGTCAGGGGTCCCCAAACTTGGCCACTTTAAGACTTGTGGACTTCAACTCCTAGAATTCCCCAGCCAGCCATGCCTGCTTCCTCTCTCTCTTAATCTCCTATAGTGGAGAGGGATTACAGAGGAAGGGATTACAAGAGAGCCAGCTATGCTGGATGGAGAATTCTGGGAGTTGAAGTCCACAAGTCTTAAAGTGGCCAAGTTTGGAGACTTCTGAGTTAGCTCATTAAGTGAATTTGGCTTCCCCCTTGACTTGGCTTCTCTGAAGGTCCCAGGATGCTGCAACCGTCATAAGTATGAGTCAGTTGTCAGTTGGCTGAATTTTGATCGTGGGGATGCTACAAAGGTGGTGTGAAAAGCGGCCCTAGCGTCACTTTTCTCAGTGCTGTTGTAACTTTGAACGGTCACTATTCTGTCCTGTACTAAACAAGGGTTGTAAGTCAAGGACTACTTCAACTGTGTGATTGCAAAATTGCTCTCCTGCCAAAAGAGATCAGCCTCCATTCAGCATCTGGCTCCTCTTAAGAGGAATCTCTACCGTTTTGGTAGCTTTCCTGAGCCAATGAAACCATTATCCCTTCTTCCTAAATTTGCAAAATTGCTCAATCTTCAGGTGGCACAGAGGATTCCGCCTCCTCCTCCTAAATCAAGGCAAAGCATCTGTCATTTTTCCATTTACTCATCCTATTTTGCTCCCTCTGTCCAGATCTTCTTGTACTTGGCCCCTGACAGATCTTGCTATGCTTTTGTTTATGTCTGTGAAGGTAATTTAGCAAGGCCCAGATGAAAAATTTAATATGTTGGCACATCTGCCCTCCTCAAAGTTCCCCTCTACCCCATTCTTCCCCAGCAATCATGCAAAGAGACATTGCAATAAACCAGTTTCTTGAACAAGACACCCTAACAACTGAGATTTCTACATTCCGCCAAGCCACAACCAAGAAACCAGTTTATCATTTAATTCTCTAGCATTGTGGTTGCAAGAACCTGACGCAATGATACTTCTGGAATTCTTCCCTTTTGTTTCTCGCCAACAAAAGTTGTATAAGAAAACTCATAGGAGCCCTTCATTGATTTTTCAAGCATCCTTTAAAAAAACTATGCATAGAAAAATACAGATTGAAATGCCATGTTTAATTAATGCGGCGCCTTTTAAACCGGAGATTAAGAATCCCTTGGGGAGAGAAATACAGGCATGGTAGAGAGGGCAGCTTTCGACCGACAGCAGCGTTCTTTTCAAGTGTTACTAAGGAAAGTTAACTGAATCCAGGCAGATTACTTTTTGAGTAAATATGCGTAAGATAAATGGGCAAGAAATCAGCAGGACAGGGTTTCCTTGCTTCTTGCTTTTCCTTTTGAAAGCTTGAACGTTTCTGCGATGGTGGGAGGAGGCCCTCCCTCAGTGCCAACTTCTTCTGCGGGAGGTCCCAATCTCAGGGACTTTTAAGATATATATATATATGGAGTTAAACTCCCAGAATTTCCCAGCTACCATTGCTGTCTAGGGAATTCTGGGAGTTGAAGTCGCTATGGGTGCGGTAAAACCTCCCCCCCCCCCACCCCCCCTTCGAGCCCCCCCCCCCCCGACTCGATCATCGCCCCACTTTCACTTTTGCTT